GCCAAAATTTCCTAAAAATGTCAACAAAATGACTTCAATTTTTCTCAAAATGTCAAAAACTCGGCCATAATGACTTCAGATTTGTCCAAAATCCTACAAAAGTTTCCCAAACTAACCAAAGCTTTTTCCAAAATTGCAAAAAATGTCCCAAACTTTTCCAAAATACCTCAAAACTCGTCCAAAATAACTTAAAACGGGTTCAAAATGATCACAAAAGTTCTAAATAACTCAATAATTGTCCAAATTGGCTTAAGATTTGTCCAAAATGATTAAAGATGTGCCTAACATTATTATTACTACCCAGATTACTTTAAACCTTGTCAAAGTCACATTAAATGATGAATTAAATTTTCCCAAAATGACTCAGAATTTGTCCAAAATGACCAAAATGTCTTTAAAAAGTCAACAATTCTCCAAAGTGACTCAAGATTTTTACAAATTCACCAAAAGTTGTCCATAATGACTTAAAATTAGCCCCTTAAGAGAAAACTAAAGTGTGTCTTCTGTGCAGAAAAACACAGTTATAAAAATTAAAAATTATTAAAACATAAAAAACAAAAGCTGAACTTCTTTGATTATTTCTTTTTCAAAAAAAATTTACAAACCAGAAATTAACAAGTATGACATTTTTCCAAGTGCCTACAGCTGTTAATACTGGAAAAGGAAATGTTTTGTATATATTATAGAATATAAATGAACATTTTATTATTTTGTCTCCTCTCTGCTCTATTTCAACACATCCTGCAGTTCATCTGAAAAGCTGCTGAATTTTCATCTCCTGACTGTTGGTCACAGCTGAGCCACTCATGGCTTCACAGTTTTGTTGAAGAACACAGAATTTATTGTTTTTGACAGAATCTAGTTGAAGAAAACTGTTTGTTTTTGGTGAATTTTAAAATAAGACATGTAGAATAAAGAGATTTTGACCAAATATCACAAGTTTAAGCTTCGATTTGCTTTTAAAAGCTGAAAATCCAACAATTTATGATGTTTTTACACCTTCTTGTGTTGATAAATGCTGTAATTTTAGTGATTTTATTTTATTTTTTAGAGTAGCATTCCTTTCAAACCCACTGGCCAGGTCTTAGGGCTCATGGCATCTCTCTGTGGTTTGCTCCCCTTCAGGTTCGCCTACACCGTCGCCACCGTCCTGCTCAGCTCGCTGGTTCGGCAGCTGAAGCTTCACCAGCTGAAGGGACAAACGGCCGAAGTCCGATCCGAGCTGGTGTCGACGCCGAAAGACGAAACCTGGATCACCGTCAGCAGGAGGAGCAGCAGTTAGTCTGAAACTCCAGGGAGAAAAAAAAGCCACAAAACTAACAGCTTCACTTAACAAATGACCAGCAGAGTATTAAAAATGTTAGAACCACATCCTTTTAACAGCAGCGTGATGGAAATAAAGTCTAATTTGTATGATTTTAAACACAGTTTTCCAGCGTTTCTTTGCGCCGCCGTCGTCTTTCTGGTGCTTCGTGCTGCAGTCGGAGGCCTTAAACGAATCACTGCAGGTCAGATTTGCACTCGCTGAAAGACTCTCGTCTGTTGGAGGAGGGAAACTGAAGCTCTGTGAGAAAAGTCCACTTGTGCCGGTTTCCGTAATTTCCAAACAACTGCCTTTAACCAGAGTTCTCAGAGTCACAAGACGAGTTTGTCAAACAAAACGAGCCTCAGTGTTCTCAGACGGTTCACTTCATCCTTTATATTAAAGATGTATCAAGACTTTGTTTGTTTGTTTGTTTTATCTTGGATATCACAGCTTCCCCAACAAGTCGACTAAAAACATCCAGAGATCCTTTAAAAGACAAAAATTGTATTTTTGATTATAAAAGATCTAAAATCTTAACCACCTGCCTCATAAAGTATCAGTCCGTTTGGATTTTACACGTATTTGTGCAGGATTTCAAGAAAACTCTCCAGAATCAGGTTTTAACGGTTTTGTTTTACACATAAATAGTTGAATCCTTGTTTCATAAAATTACTATAAAACACTGTAATAAATATTTAGATTTTTATGTTTGTGTGATTCTTTAGCTTTTTAAAAACAGGTTTAACATATTTTCCTTAAACAAAGCCTGTACATTTTATTCTGCAGCAGAAAGTCTTGTCAGTGGCAGCTGTTAGGAATATTTTTACTTCACATATGCAAAGATTTTGAATTAAATTAGGTCAGAACTCATGATTATTAATCATTCAGTCGCTATTTTGTTGATTAAATTAATAGTTTAGACTATATGACATTGAAAATGAAAACAAAACACTTTCATTGCAGTTACTCAAGTTGAACAATGTGAATTCAAACTATGTGGCTTAAGTTCTGTTTTTTTATGCAGTTATTCAAGTTGGTTTTCAAAATTTAATATAAATCATTCAAATTAAGTTTTTCATACATTTATTCAAATTAAACAATTTAAATAATTCCATTTACATTTTGTTAAAATTTTGGTTCAACAATTAAAATTCTAATGTGAATTAATAAAATATATTTTAATACAATTATATGATTTGAGCAATTCTAAGACTTAAAAAACCGTTCAAACTAAACATTTTTGAAATTTAAATCATTAAAATTCATTTTTAAATATGATAATTTAAGCTGAAAATTATAATTTAAATCATTTGACTTCTAATTTTAACAAAATTATTAAAGTGAAATAACAAAAATTCATGTATAAATCATTCAAATAAATTTTTTAAATACAATTATTCAAGTTGAGAAATTCAAAATCAAATAAGTCATCAAACGTCCATTTTCAATACAATATTTCAAATGAAACAAACAGAGATTCAAATATAAATCATTACAATCATTGAAAAAAATACAGATTTTCAAATCAAGCAATTCACATCCCAGCATTAATCATTCTAATTCATTTTCTTGTGGCACATATTGGTAGGATATTTTTTCTGTAATGTGTTTCACTAACAGCCTTTACGGATCAAAACAGAGTCAAACTAGTTGATAATAAAAATTGCATTAAAGAGGAAAACATCGGAATTAAAAAAAAATTTAGATTATTAAATAAGACGTTGGGGGGGAAATCTGAAAATTGTCAGTAAAAATCACATCAAAATACGACAACAAATAAATAATTAAAATTATATAATTTTTAATATTTATGTTTAATGTTTTAGTACAACTTGGTTCAGAGCTTTGTTTTTTTATGTCAATAAACGTCTTTTAACTACAAATATTTTAATTCCAACTTTATCTTGTTCAGTCTAAATTCTATTTTCAGAGTCAGCCTGTAGTGTTTCTGTTTCTGTTGTTGGTCTGAGATAACACCATGATGTGTTCTTTTATTTATTTTTCAGCTCAGCTCGTGAGTTAATTGATTAATTGTTGCAGCTCTTAATTGAATATTACGTAAAATAAATTACAGTTGAAGGGGGTGAAATAGGGAGAGTAATAACAGCTTTATTAAGTATAAAATGCTAAAAGATAATATAAAAATACGCCTAAATAAAGCTTCTAAAGGTTTTTATATATATATTTATATATTTGTGGGCTTCTCTGCTCTCCGCTGCTCCCGTGGCGCTGCTGGGGGAGCCCTTGCAGTACCGCACACAGCCGCGGGGGCGCCGGCGAGTCCGCACACCTCTCCGCTAAAGATGTGAAAATGGCGGAGCTACAAATGCTTCTGGAAGAGGAGATTCCAGCAGGACGAAGCGCTCTCCTGGACAGTTTCACCAATTTGGAGCGAGTCGCGGAGTACTGCGAGAGCAACTATGTCCAGGTAGGCTGCCACACACGCGGGACGAAGAACGGCGGAGTTTTTCGTCGGGTTTTTATTTTCGGCATCACTGGCGGCTAACTGATGCTAGGCTAGCTGCTGCTAACGCTGCCGATGCGGTGCAGCCGTGTCAGCTAGCATCTCGGCTAACGCGACAACAAGCCGCTGTCAGGGCGTTTTTACCGCACAGCAAACTCGTAAATCACCCTTTTCCTGCCACGCTCCTCTCAGAGTGTGTCAGCGCTGCTTTTTGGTCCACACTTCCACCGACACGGCGGTGTGTGGGACTTGTACATCCATCGTGGGCTACGCGTTAGCCGAGTAGCTCGTTAGCCAGCTGCTCGGTCCAAATAACCAAACAGGCACCGTGAAAATCAATTTGTGTGCTTCTCTGCGGGATCAATCAACGCCGCGACAGCAGCCAGCGGACCGAGCACCGGCCGGAGATGTCGGACGTGATATCAGGGCAGATTAATGTGAGATGAGCCCCGGTTGACAGCAGATAAACCGCCGTGACAGTATTATAAACACTGATTTATGATGCTGGACTGGAGCACTTGCGCTTCACGCTGCAGCCACATCACACCTGTAATTGATGCTTTTCAGCACCTGGAAATGCTTGTGGCTTCACCGAGATGTGCAGCTGGAGGAGGAAAAAGTGTGGTGTTGCATTTGTGTGTCCGCATATTCAAATATAGCTGCTGATTTGCATGGCTTGTTGGCTTGTGCAGAGGCGTTGTGGGGATCTTTGCACACTGGGGGCTCAGAAATATTTAGGTTTTAACCCGATAATTGCCCTATTTTCAAGAGCAAAAGGAATATTTAATGTGAGACACTCTGTTCTTTGCAAAGTAGGGTCATCCCATCATGCATTTAGCCCATGTTTCACATTAATATCACAGTAAAGGCAGGCTTGGTGGGTGGACTAAGTCTTATTTATGATGATTCACAGTGATAATCATGTGTAAAGGTGCAGCTTGTGACAAAAATGCTTGAGAACCAGTTCCCTGTGTGCTGGTATGTCTGATCAGATATGAACCCTCTGACTTCCAAGCAGTTTCTGGCTGGTTTTGTTTACTACAGGCTCATTTTTACTCACTGACTTCTCATTTTTCACTATAATATAAAGTCCTGCACCTCTATGGAAACACAACAACCACGACGAGAAGTGATAAAGTTATAAAATCATGCATTATTTAAAAAAACAAAATCAAAAGTTTTGTTTGGATATAATAATCAACAAGTGCCAGTTTTGTCCACTGGTGTCGCACATACTGGAATGAACTGCTGGCTCTACAGTCTATTGATATTTTATTTCTTCAATTTGTTTGAATATTTGTCTCCCTCTCTGCTCTGAGTAAACACTGCCTGCAGATCAGTCCAAAAAAAAATCCCTGAATTCTCATCACAGGACTGTCGCTCCCAGCTGAGTCATTATTAGTTTCCCAGTTTTGCCAAGAAGTGCAGAATTTTTTATTTTTTACAGAATGTAGTTAAAGCAAACAGCTGATTTTTGGGCAATTTCTTTTTCAAGACTTGTAGAATACGACTGTCTGTGCACTACCAAGACTCTACACACTAAAGATATTTTATATATAACTCTCAGATTTTTTGTCACGTGACTCTTGGTCACAGCTTCATCATTATAAGCTTCCTGTTTTTGCCAAGGAGTGCAAAATTTTTTATGTTTTGTCAAGTCCAGTTAGAGCAAACTGGCTATTTTTGAATTTTTTTTTCAATGAGGCATGGCGAATAGTGTGATTTTGATGCAACACATCACGATATAAGCTTCGATGTGGTCAGCTTTTCTGATCGAATGGCAAGTCACAGATGACTAGTTCAAGTACCGTAAGAAAACTGCAAAATCCAACATTTCTTTCTGTTTTTACAGCTTCTGGTTCTGATAAATGGTGTAATTGTGGCGACTCTTTAAAGGACAACATGCCTTTGAAAGCCGCCAGATGTTGAGGTTCACCCGTAAAGTCGCACAACACAATAAACAACTAATAATAATCAGACTAAATCTGCAGCCCGTGTTGCTCATAAACGTCTACCTTCGTCCTGTTTTCTATCTGAAAAGCTTCTTCCATTCGAGGCCTTCTTCAATTTTTGCTTTTGTGAGTTAGTTCACCTCTAACCAGGCGGCTCTCTGTGACACACGCTCGCACAGAAACCAGTGTGAAGTCGATCTGCTGCTTGAATAGCCCACACTGGCCCGTCTCATCGCCTGCATCGACTTATTTTCCAGCCTTTTAATGCATGATTGGACTGACGGAGGTGTAGATCCGGCGCTGCGCTCGCTTCCATTCAGAGCTTTTGATATTCTGCAGGTGTGATCTCATCTTTTACAGCAATCTCTCTCGTCCGGGGCTCGACGGGGCGGCTTTGATAGGTGAGAAATTTGGGAGCGCCGTGTCGCCGGGAAGAGGTTTTGACAAGGTGCGATGCTGGAATCTGATGATGAGGAGGGCTGATCGGGTGTGACAGGTCGGCCTGGCGAGGCGGCGGCAGGGCTTGGATGTCGGCGGCTCGCTGTCTGTCTGGCCGGCTGCCCTGCGAGCTTCCCCAGCTGCTGTCAGACGGGCATTAACACTTATAGATTCATCAGGAGGGTATTTCACCTCTTTATCTCCTCCCTAGTTCACATCCCCGTCCTGCTGCGTCGGCCTCTAATCCGGCTCCTCGTGGAGGAATTTCCACCTGTTGAACTTGTATTTTGGCTTTGAGCACGATAAGTGTGTGTGAGCGACGCTTCCTTCACAGCAGACACCAGGAGTTAGTTTAAAAATCCTCGCTTTTTGTCGCCGCTAATGGTCCTAATTTTCAGTATTTTATTTGTTTTATCTTTGCTCTTATAGCTTGTGGCCTTGCTTCATTGTTTTTATACACTGTTGTTCCTTATTTTCATTGCAGCCTAACTTGTACAGCACTTTGGTCGTTTAATGTTTAAACAAACTGGATTTATTTTGACATAATTCCCCCCAGTTTCCTTCCACAACCACCTAAAGGAGAGCGCTTTGCTTAAGTGAAATGTGGGAAGGCTGCTCTTGGAGAGTTTTTCGAGTCGAGTAAAGGTTGTCTGATTCACAGCCTCTGACTGGAGCTGCGTCGTTGCTCATTTCAGTGGGAGTCCAAACGCGTGTCTGCAGAAATTCTCAATGATTTTGGGTGTTTTCCTCGAGTAGACACGGCTGGAGCGAATGGGAAAGCGCGTTGTTTATTACTCATGTTTTATCCGCTCATCTGATTCACCACGACTGTGCCGCTGCCAGATTTAGTGGCTGATTCGGTTTCCTCATCGATTACATATAACTGAATGTTTCCTCCGTCTGTCCGTTACAATATTTATCAGCCGCACCGATTTCCGGCATCATGTTTTCTCACAGAAAATAGATTCCTGTGACTTCCATGTTTCGGCATTGGGAGCATCCTGAGCTACTACATTTAATATTCTAAGGCAAAGATGTAAACTCACGGGTATAAACTTGCTTCCAACATGTTTTTTTTTAAATGTTATAGAACAAAATAAATAAATCTGTGACTGATCTAAGTTGACTCTTGGCTCCTGTCACGTTTTTATTCATTGTTAATGCAATATAAACACAAAAAATACAAAAAATAAAACAAGTAAAGCTGAATTTGTTGGATTATTTAAAACGAATTGTTTTATTTTTTTTAGAAAGCACGTAACTTGGGAAATGTAGTGCCTCATAGAAAAGCAAGAAGATATAAGAACGTAAATACAAGTCAGTGAGCTTCAATAAGACTAGACATGACCTGGTGTTCATGAAAGTGAAATACTGCACATAAAATAAAATGGAAATGAAATGTTTGAGGTGATACTGAAAGAAATGGCGTTGATAGTATTGTTCAGGGCTGCAGGGTGGCGCAGTGGTTAGCACTGTTGCCTCACAGCAAGAGGGTTGCCGGTTCGCCATGTTCTCCCCGTGCAGCGTGGGTTCTCTCCGGGTTCTTCGGCTTCCTCCCATATAAAAACATGTTGAGGTTAATTGGTGATTCTAAATTGTCCGTAGGTGTGAATGTGAGTGTGCTTGGTTGTCTGTCTCTAAGTGTAGCCCTGTGATAGACTGGTGACCTGTCCAGGTGAACCTGCCTTCACCCTGAGTCAGCTGGGATAGACTCCAGCCCCCCATGACCCTAGTGAGGATTAATTGGTGTATAGATAATGGATGGATGCATTATTGTTCAGATATAACAAGAAGTTATACAGTAGTAATAATAAAACTTAAAATAGGTCTAATCGGAGCTCTCCATGAAAAGTTTGAACTGAGCAGGTCTCTAATGGCTCAGGAGCTGCATCTAATTAATAAAAGTTAAATAAAGTCCTAATAAGACGAATGAATCGGCCCTGGATGAGGCGTGCAGCACAGTGCATGTCCTCAACTGCAGCTTCTGCTAATTGCACTTCTTCCAGTGTGATTTATCGTTCAGCCTTAAACTCGGGTGGATTTGCATTCAGCGTCAGGTTCGACGGCGGCGTCACGAGAAATGAGAAATAGCATCGGCGGCTTATTAATAGGTGAGAAATGTCGTCGCTCAGCCCTGCAGGTTTGGTTTTTAACCACAGAACCGGTTAGTCCTCATGCTGCTGCGGCGCTGCTCCCTCCACACACCTTTAAATGATGCCATTTGTTTGCAGGCTTCACCAGATGCTCAGGAATTAAATCGGCAGCACTCTCTGTTTCACATGAAAGGGAATATTACTGCCGAGGATGCTCCTGATTGAACTGGAGGGAACTCCCCCCCCCCTCAAAAAATCCAAAGTAATAAATATCTGACTTCATTCTGATTCAGCTCACAGCTTCAGTGTTGCATTGGCCTCAACAGCACTGTTTTAAAACGCATAAATGCATACATTACACGGATTTACATCTGAGCCGTGGGTCAGTGTCTTTGGAAGTAAGAAGGAATCTATAGGCAGGTTTTGTAGCTTCTCCTGGCTGTCGCAGCGCGGCTGTAATACGAGCTAAAACCAATCAATCAATATCCAATCACGACCCGAAGCCTGCCGCGACCTCGTGTTTGTTTACCGTCAGTGATCAATCTGCCGCGATGCCACAGACGGCGGCCGAAAGCAGATAACGAATGCTTTTGTTTAACGGGCACAGCTAATGATTTTCATTATCAATTAGGCTGCAGATCATTTTCCTGATTAATCAACGCGACGAGGTAGCGAGCAGCGCTGATCGCGGTTTTAAACACCCTCAGATGGCGTCCTGACGGGGTTTAATTTGTCCAGACTTCAGTACACAACCCAGAGGTGGGAGGATGCTCAGTTCTAGAAGCAAGAATCAATAAATGTTTGATTCGATGCATCAGCTCAAGTAAAATCAGAAATGAGCGACTCTGCACACGTTCTGCTCCGTTTATGATTATTTTTATCCCTTTAGTTTCGTTGTATTGACTCAGGAGCAAGAGCGAGAAGTCCAAAGACGTTCAGTCTGCCACCACATATGATAAATAAAAGCACCAAGCATGCAGCAAAACACATGGGGCAACATGTGGGAATCTAAAGCTGGAAAAAGAGTTTGAGAAGAAGGAATCAACAGATGTTTGGCTTGTTTGCTTGAATCTCGGTTGCTTCAGCTTGAGTAGGAGTGAACATCTCTGTATGCGTTTCCCTTTATCTTTATTATATTGGCTATAAAATGGTGATTTTATTTATTTAAACGCTGCCTGCAGTTAAGCTGACCACTGTTTTTGAATTTTTCTCACGTGACTGTTGGTCAGAGCTGAGTCAACAGTGGCTTCACGGTTGCTCTGAGAAATGTGGAATTTTTTAGTTTTTTCAGAATCTTGTTCAAACAAAGAGTTTTATTTTGGTGAATTTTTAAATCAGACTCACGGCTGTATTACCTGCTGCTCACTGCGATGCCACTGAGGGTTTTTTTTTTCCCTTTTGCTTCACTGGAAAGTTCATTTCTGGCATCGAAATCTTTCATAGCAGCAGTTTCTCTCCTGCAAATTGCCGGTTTTAATTTTTTGGATGTGCTTTTTTTTTTGTTGCTCCGGTGCCACAAAGACTTGATTTGATTTAGTCTTTGCGACACAAGGTGACCTCCCAGTGACTCATGTTTGTATTCGGTATCTAGAGGTTTGAACTTTGATAACAGTTGTGTAAAAACGTCTTGACTGCAGCTTTGTTCTGGAAAAAAACTCAACAAATAATGTCAAACTTTCCACTAGAAAGAATAATAAGCCATGCAGGATTTGTTTGATGTTACATTTGAAACAGCAAAACAAATCTTAAATCACACATTGGAATTTGAATAGTCTGGTGTTTGTACTCACTTCAGTAATTATTTAAAACTTGAAAAGATTAGAAGACGTACTAAAAACACTACAAATCACAGTTAATTTCTTATTTAAATTACAGTCTGTATGTTTTTCTTCTTATTCCTACGGCTTTAAATTTATATTCCTCTTGTTTAGAAAGAAAGTTATGATGCAGATTTAATCAGCAACCATTTATATATTTGATTAATAATTAACTTTTTGGTTTTTTTTAAGCCAAACATCCAACACTAGCGCCTCAAATGTTAGAATTAGCTTTTTGTTGTCATATGTATTTAGAAAACTGAACACATATTTGTGTTTTGGATTTATATTTGAGCTGTTTCCAACTGTAATAGCATTAAAACACTACACATATTGGTCTAACAACAGGTTTGATCATTTTTCTTTGTCGTTTTTAAATCATTTGGGTTTTTTTTTCAGAGTCTAAGATGAATATAAATTGATTATATTTGCGTTTTGTTGTGTTGATCAGCAAGCAGCTTGTGGAGATTTCACTGCCATTTTTAATGTTTTTCAGACTTAACATATGAATCGATAAAATACAAAGCAGAGCCATCGTTGACCCTCTGAATCCTGAGCAGCTTCTGGGCACCGTTTACTCCATTTTTACTCACTGTGGCGTCATTTTTCACTGCAAAAAAAAAAGTCTTCTTTGCAGTATGACACAGATACAAAGCCACGAATCCTAAAAAAACAACCTGGAATCAAGATATCCAACAATACTGGGAAAAACAGTTTGGATATTTTACTGTTTTGCATTTTTACAACATCTAAAAACTTCTCTGCACATCATGTCTGCAAAGATGTTTCACCATCAGCTGAATGTATCTTCAACAACGTGCTGCTCTGTTCACTGTTTCTGAGCCGTGCTGCTTTTATTTCTATTGCACAACATGCATCCAAAAACTCTGAATGTTGAGTCAATCATAGATTCTAAATTGCAGCAAGATTTTTTTTGCTTTTGTGCAGAATCTGATAAGTGCAGATGGTTTGTTTTTGGTGAGTTTTTAAACGAAACATGCACAATAAAGCGAGATTACGAAGCAGGATTTTAAGCTGAGATTTTAAGTTTTCTGACCGAATCGTGCCTAAGAGCTGTGTGACTCATTAGAACGTGTAAAATTTCTGCTTTTACACTTTGTGGGTTCTGATAAATGGTGTAATTTTTGTGATTATTTAAATTTCTTTAAAGACCACATGCCTTTCAAAGCTGCTGGCATTTTCTGTGCTGCGCAGGGTGAAGGAATATAATCACTACCTGCAGCCTGAAAGTCTGAAAGAAATTACCTTCAACCTTTTTTTTTTTTTTTTTACAGCATCAAGCGGGACTCGTTTATATTTTACGCCGGGTTTAATGGACCAGAAATGTGCAGAGAAGTGATGTTGGGATGACCTTGTAGAGTAAAGGCTGCCTGTTTAAACGCTATATATTCAAAATGTCCCGGCGAATCTCATCCTCCTCGCTCTGAACAAACAGCATCGTCTGCTCCGCTAGAAAATGCAAATATTCTCAAAGTCAATCTCCTCTTTCTGTTCAGTCTCCAGACAAGCAGAGGGCGCTGGAGGAGACCAAGAACTACACCACCCAGTCTCTGGCCAGCGTAGCCTACCTGATCAACACGCTGGCCAACAATGTGCTGCAGATGCTGGACATCCAGGCGTCGCAGCTCCGCCGCATGGAGTCGTCCATCAACCACATCTCACAGGTGGGGACCGACGCACTCGTGGCACACTTTGCATGAAATAAACGGCTTTAATTTGCAAGGCTTGATAAACGGCGATCAACCAGACTGTCAAAATGTTACTCAAATGCGTCGCAGAATCAGGAAGTTGTAGCCAAAAAGGTAAACAGCGACAAGTTGGTTAAAAAAGTCAGTGTGATAAGACAAATATGAAGCAGTGTTAAGTGGCAGAAGTACTTCCAGTGTGCAGGAAATCAATCAGTATGTCATGTAAGCAACTGGAAATGTGTGTTTGATGCTTTTTGTCCTCTTTTTTGTCACAGCTTTAAAGCACTTTTTAACCCTTATGATCAAGTTTCACCTCCTAAAGCATCAATATCATCAATACTTTTGCATTTAAAGTCTATCAAAAGACCATGTAACAGTGTGGGAAGTTTGTATAATTCAGTACATCTGCATCCAGAGCTGCACGCTGGATTAAAAGATGAAAGATCTTCCTCGACGCTCCAAATTACGAAACTGTGTGAAACACCTCCTTCTGCTAATGAGGCTTTCAGGGATTCAGAGATGAGTGTTTGATTAAAAAAAGCAGTAAATGTGAATCTCGCCTCCCTCAGACGGTGGACATCCACAAAGAGAAGGTAGCCCGGCGGGAGATCGGCATCCTCACCACCAACAAGAACACGTCCCGCACACACAAGATCATCGCCCCGGCCAACCCCGAGAGGCCCGTGCGCTACATTCGCAAACCCATCGACTACAGCCTGCTAGACGACATGGGCCACGGAGTCAAGGTGCCGGATCTGCTCTTTGCTCTTCGTTTTAAAGTCCTGATCACCACAAACTAAACTTGAATTTGCAAAAAATTGATGTGTAGCATTTTACCAGGTACCCACATGTGTTATTGAATAACATCAGCTGGCTCTGCATGTTATAGATGTTTACCAATCATATGTTTAGTTCAACCCTAAAGTCTCTGTATTGTTGTTACCTGGCTGCCACTAATGACTCCATGGTTGTGATGAGGATTGCACTTTTTTTTTGTTTTTTTTTACACAATCCGGTTTGTGCAAATGGTTTATTTTTGGCGTTTTTTTTTTCTCAATGAGACATGTAGAATAGAGTGATTATAATGAAATATTGAGATTTTAAGTACCGATTCCGATATATCGGTGACCACGTCGATATCGGCCGATATTAGTGTATTTTCTGATATATCGGTACCAGTCTGATGAGCACATTTAGCCAAAATTTAGCCGTCTCCAATCATATCTTTAGTTCAACCCTAAAGTCTCTGTATTGTTGTTACCTGGCTGCCACTAATGACTCCTCGGTTGTGATGAGGATTGCACTTTTTTTTTTGTTTTTTTACACAATCCGGTTCGTGCAAATTTTTATATTTTTTTTGGTGGATTTTTTCAATAAGATGTAGAATAGAGTGATTATGATGAAATATTAAGATTTTAAGTTGGGATGCACGATATATTGGCGACCACGTCGGTATCAGCCAATATTAGTGTTTTTTCCGATGTATCGGTATCGGCCCGATGAACACATTTGGCCAAAATTTAGCCGTCTCTGCATTTGATATCGCTGCTATTTCACAGATGTTTTCATCTTATATTATTACTTATATCTTAAAAATATAACAGATCTTAAAGTATGTTTAAATATGTTTTGCTTTTGTTGGACTATGTGGTCTAATTTGGGCTTCTTTTGAATAGCTTTCACCTTCTCACAGTGCTTACTTACACTCATTTTTTGACGTGAACAAAAATTGAGTATCGACATCGGTGATATCGGTTATCGGCGATATCAGAAATCTTAACATCGGTATCGGCCAGAAATTTTTATATCGTGCATCACAAATTTTAAGGTTAAATTTTCCGACCAATCGGCACGTCACGAGGGACAAACACCCACTGAAAAGTTTCAGATCTGATTATTCTTTTTGCACTTTCTTCCTCAGAGAAATGGTTTAATTTTAATTTTTTTAAAAAAAAAAAACAACAACACTCCTTTAACGTTTTGCTGTCCAGGGGGTTAAAAAGTAGACTTTAGTGTAATTTTTCTGTCTAAAACTGCACCGTGTTTCGTGCAGTTTTACGATAAGGCGAAAAGAAAAATTAAAACGTTCACAAGACGGTCTGGAAGAAGTGTGACGTTGAGAGATGGAGTTGTTGTTGTGGGATTATTATGGGCTGCTCACTGCAGAATGAAAAGGACTTGTGGAGGTCAGACACTTAGTATTGTGTTTCAGCGGGTTTCAGAGTCAAGTAATTTAAGAGAGAATCGATGCCCGAGGCTTTTCTCCAGGATGAGAAACTAAAGTCAGCCGGGACACCAAGTCTGTCACCTGCTGCTGGGAACAGGTTTCTGTCTAATAATTATTTTATTTGATAGAACTGTCGGGGTGTCTCCCTCTATATAAAGCTCGTTGCCCACTGACGCCGTGAACAAAGACGAGCTTGTTTGCCAGAAAATGGAATCGCTCGCTGGAAGCTCACAAAGGTTTCAAAGATCAAATTCCTCACAAGTTAACACTGAGCCATTGTGGCCTGAACCTGGAAGCCGGCTCGGCTCTACGCGCCACATGCTTGAATGATTGTTGATTTCCTCTCTTCTTCCTTCACCCACTAATCACCTGATTTCTTCTCTTTCTCTCTCTCTCTGCTTGCCTAATTTTACCTTTTTGTTGTCAACCGTAGTGGTTGCAAAGGTTTAAGGTAAGACTTTCAAAGTAAGAGCCTCCAATCAGAGAGGGGCTTTTGTTGTTGTTGTTTTTTTGTTGTTGTCTTGAATTGCTGTGTTTTTTGTTCTTGTATTTATTTACATTTAAAGTAGGGGTCGACTGCTGATTATTTTCAGGGCATACACTAATATTGATCATCAGTAGTCAATGAGACTGATAACTGATATTTGGAGGGTATGATTAACTCCAGCACAGAACTTTGTAGAAATCTTTTTTATTTATATGCTTTATAGGTTTGAATAAAAACGATTTCTTCAACATTTATCTTAAGTGTTGATTAGTTGTGGCATAATTTAGAACTTGCTGCTGTGTCCAACGTCCACGCTGACAATCAGTCGACCCCTAAGTTCAAGAACTTTGTTTGCTGTTCAGTAAATATTTGCTTTCTTGCTGAGAGTTACATGAGATGCTGCTCTTGTTTCTCACCTACAGCCAGGTTAGCTTAGCTTAGCATGACGGCTGTAACTAGAGGGGGAAATTATGCGTGTAGCAACAAAATATAGCATCATATCAAACACAGAAACACGTTCCTGTGGTTGCTTCTGAATGGCAGTGATTTGGAGTTATTACAGAATATAGCAGCTGGTTACAGGTTGACCTGTAGCGCCGCGTTAGTTGTGATTATTCCTGAGGCGTGTCGAGAACAATAGTTGTAAATAGAGCAAGAGTTCTGGAGGTTTTAGGACTCCCCGCTGTGTTTAAGTTACATCGATTAGAAGGCGAATCGCAGCACCCCGAAATCCTGCAGCAACTATTTCGATTACAATTGAAGGTATGGATGACGCAGAATCTCATAACAGCATCCAACTGCTTCAACTTAACTCGGAGTGCTTAGAAACTTCAACAAATACTAGTTATTGGATTTAATAGAACAATGGAGGTTTGTTTAGTTGAAGACATTAGAGAGGGCACTGAAGGGGCAGAAAAACATTACTTCTTACAGTTCAACCCATCAGTTTCAAGCCCCACACAGCAGAGACTCATCTGAATTCTGTACTTTATTCTCCCCTGAAAGCCTCCCAGAAGGAAATTGCACCTGTAGCCAGAACTACAGCTGTTAATGATTATCAGCTAATTGATTAATTGTAGGATTTGTAGATGAGTTGGTCTTACTGTTTGAGATTTAAGACGTGCAGTTTGTTTGCGTTAAATCCTGCAGCGACCAGAGGAGGCGGTCGCTCAGACGATGGTTAGCTCCGTGTCAGTAAGCAGAGAGCATTGTGGGAGGTTGACTTGCAAATAGACACTGTGACAGAGACTTCTGTGGCGTTTAATGACCTCGGGTTAGAGCTTGATGAGCAGAAGTCGACTAGTACTACGTCCCTATAGCTGAGTGATTGATTTAACCAACCAAACTGTTTAGTTTAGTTTAGAAACTTGGGTTTGGGCTGCCTTCAAATGGATCCCAGTTTATAGTTTGTTAATTAAGGCACTTCTAAGGTGCTGATGAGTAGATTTCTTTCACCTTTTTAACTGAGCCAGGCTCGCTGTTTGCTATCTTCATGCTAAGCTAACTCATTTCTGCTCCACATGAGAGCAGCGTCCATGTCATCCTCGAACTCTCAGCAAGAAAGCAAAGATGGACGATGCTAAAAACGTTCACACTTTAACCGACGCCTGCACCTCCCGCCACAGGCCAGCGCTCAGAACATGAAGGCCGGAGGAGGCGGCGGACTTCCTCGCACCAACCCCCCGACACAGAAGCCCCCCAGCCCGCCCATGACGGGGAAAGGGACCCTCGGGTATGTAAACGGCCCCGGTGCTCTCCGGAGAGCAGAGTCGTGTCCGTCAGGAGGCGAGCGTAGCTTTGGGAAAGTGAACCGGGAGCTCTCCTCCAGATGGTTGCTCACGGTTTCATCATCGCTGCTTTACCTCCCGGTTTAATTAGAGTCCCTGCGGTGGTTTAAGACGCATTTTAGTGTCAGTTTGCTTCACAGCGGTGCTCAGTGCTGCTCGGGCAGGTTTGGGAGGAAAAAGAAAAGCTTCTCGACCTGCTTGTGTTTGTGCAGGAATTTTACATCAAGACAATCTTTCCATTCACACAAACAGAAGTCACACATATTGTAAGAATTAAGGATGAATCCTGTTTGAACGTACTCTGTTAATGACAGATGAGCCACAGGAGTCCATGTTTTATCACTAGAAGTTTTATTTATATTCACACAACTTTGAGCTTTTACAGCTTCACACTTCAGACAGAGGAAGCTTCATTAGCTGTGTTCCCAAAGTATGTTTTAATTTTGAAGCATCAGGTTAAAAAAGTAAATAAAAATGGCAAATTTCATTTTTTTTTAAATGCTTGAGGTGGTTTTGAGTTCTTCTAAAGAGTTAATACGCTTCAAAAGGAGTCAGCTTTATGCTTCATTGACTTTCTCCTTGTGTTTTTTAATAGTTGGTCAAAAGTTTTTTGTTTGTTTTTATCTTCCTCAAGGATTTTTTAGCAGCTGACGAGCATTGATTTTATTTTTCTGGCTTCTTCTCGTGTTTATTACAGCCACAGTGACACCACACATCCTGGTTTATTTTCTCCAAAGAAAAGTTAAAAGTAAATTACGTAGAAATAAATTAATCCAGGACAGGTTTTGTCTGAAAAATGTTTATGACAGATCTAAAAATGACCAACAATCCATTCACAAGTGATTTTTTTTTAATCTACCAATCAAAGTATTTGATTCATAATTCCAGATTTAGCTTATTAGGGTTCAGTTTATTTCAATGGGATATATAAACTGTGTAGTTTACTTTATGTGACTGTTGTTAAATGAGTGAATTTAAAAATATTCATGTGAAAATCAGCGAGTTTATATCACGTAGGTTTTATTTTGAAAACCACCTTTTTTTTAGAGACCTTATGTGGTCCTCTCTCACCCTAAAAATGAGCATCAGGGTGCAGATGGAGTAAAAACTTTCTGAGCTCATGAACGGTTTTTGATGTCGCCTGTTGTGTGTGTCTGACTGTTGAAGGTGTCTCTTCATCCCACAGGGACTCTGCTAGTAAATGTTGTGTTCTTCTGGGAGCTTCCCTCGGCGTCGAGTGTGTGTGTGTGTGTGTGTGTGTGTGTGTTTGTCGTGCGACTGTCCACCCCTTCACGTCGAGGTGTGTTTGTGTGTCCGTCCCTCCAAGACGCATGTCGATCAACCGCAGCTCCATGATGCAGCTCCTGCCGCTCCTGTGGCTACGGGCGGACATCTTTCCGATTTTTCTTTATCCTCCTCTTGTGGTTTTTTTTATTAATTTTCTTATGATTTTTTTCTTGAATTTTACTTTCGGTTGTGTGTTTTGTGACCCAGCTCGCCCACTCCTGGCTGCCCCATATTCCTCATAGCAACGTTTTGCCATAGCAACAGTGCTCAGAGATGGGTCACCCCACTGTGTCAGCTGGGAGATCCACATGCCAGCGCATCTTTGCAGGCCCACATCAATAAATCTCAGGGTCATGTTTTTTCTTTCTGCCCCCCACTCCCTCCTCCCTTCATGGTGAAAACTTGAGGACGTCATTAGCATAGCGCTGCTGTCGGGTTGAAAAACCGCGTCCCGTGTTTTCGCTTAATGAGTTTGCAGGTTTCTGGTTCAGAGTATGTGGGCAGTGTTGCTCAGGAAGACAGATGGGAATTTAAAAACTCGCTGCTGCTTTTCATTACTTTAAGGCCCCTGAACAAGCCGTCGTTTTATTGAGGAGGAACACCACATCTGTCTCGTCCGAAACACAAAGAACTCAAACGGCTTTCTTCGTAGAAACAGAATAATTTAACTCGGTTCTAGTCAGAATTTAATAGTCAGAGCTCTTGCGTTTATCGCTGAATTATGAGCTTAAAGTCAGACGAGTGTAGAGTTTTGAATTCTTACAAACAAAAGTTAGAATTTTGAGTTTAGTGTCAGAGTTTTGGAAGTAAGAATTCGGCATCAAAAGTCAGATTTTTTATTTTTTTAAATAGCAATTTCTGTGTTTAAACACTTAGAATTATGGAAAAAAAATATTTTAAACCAACAGTCAGAATTTTAAAAATCATTTCTGAGATTAAAGCTAAGATATAAAAGTCAAAAATTTCAGTGTAAAGTTAGATTATTCATTCAGACTTAGAATAATGAGCTTAAAGTCAGAATTCTGACAAGAAAAAATTCTAAATCCTGATTTTACTGTCAGATTTGTTTATATTAAAAACAAAAATCTGAATTATGGGGGATTAAAAGTCGTAATTTTTATTGTCAGGGTTCTAATTTAATTTTAAAGTATCTATATTTTTAATAATAATAAAAACAACATAGTTTCTAAACAAATTTCTATTTTTTTTATTATTAATTTTTAGGTCAGAATTTACAAAAAAAAAGTCTAAAGGGGAAGCAGTCAGAATGTTGCCAGAATATTGACAAGTTAGAATATTTAGTTTAATGTCAGAGTAAATAAAAACAAACTAATTCTGTAGTTAGTCAGAATTCTGATTTCTACCTGTTTTTTTAAATAATTATTTTGTAGAAATTTCTTTTTGTTCTCTTAAGTTCTTGTCAATAAAGACAAATCATGTTGATCAGAGTTTAAGCTTCCAAGGAGGCTGAATACGTCTTATAGACGCTGTACGTGGCTGAAAATATGCTTGAAGGTTCAATAAGTTGATAAAATCTTTCATCCACAACAAATTAAAGTAAATTTTATGTATTTTTATCCAAAGCTGTGCAGAAAAACCGATTCAAACGTGATGGAGATAAGAAATGAGCACAAATGACTCAGTTAGAATCATTATTTCTGACTTGTAGATATAATAATATGTGATGTAATAGCTTTAGCGCTGAAGCCCGGTGCTGTGAGCGTTCACCTGACCTGGTTTCCGTCCGACAGCGGCGCCATCGTGTCGTCCTTCCTGACTCCGCCCCCCCACCACCTGGACCTCAGCCCCGATCTTCGCCACCTGTCATTCCCCATATTTTAAGTTTGCACTTGTTTGTTTCTTGCTCTCCTCCTCCTCCTCCTCCTCTTCCTCCCCCCTTCCCCTACACTTCTCTGTGGATGTCTCCCCCCTCGACTCCTGTCCTCCTGACCCTCCCGCAGGCGACACTCCCCCTATAGGACGCTCGAGCCGGTGCGTCCACCCGTTGTCCCTAACGACTACGTCTCGAGCCCGACGCGCAACATGGCGCACCCCCAGCAGAGCCCTGCACGCACTGCATCCGTTAATCAGAGGAACCGCACGTACAGGTACCCCCCTCCCCTTACCCAGCATGCCTTTCTACACTTTTGAAACAAGCCCACTTTTTCCTCTCCTTCCTCCCCCTTTTCTTCTTCTCCTACACTTGAACAATGCGAGCCAGCTTCTGAGCATCTTTACCCTCCTTCTTCTTCTTCTTGTTCTCTGAAATGACTCCTCGCAAGTACAATCACTTTTACTCCCCTCTCTCTCTTTTTTTGTATTCAAGCCTGAGCTTATTATTTAATGGAAGATGATTGGAGCCTCTGAAAAAAATGTAAATAAAAAACTCAGAATTGTGACTTTTTCTACTGACTTTGAACTCGGATTTATAACATTTAGGTAAGAAATCAGAGAAAAAAATCAGATGTTTGAATTTAAAGTCGGAAAAAATACAAAATAGTAAGTTCTGCTTTTTTTTTTTTTTTTTAAAGAAAATTTTGATTTCTTTAAAAAAAAAAAAGCAAAGAAAATGGCTGATTTTTAAACATTAAAAATTTAGAATAAAAGTCAAGCTTCAGAAATTTAATGAAGTCAGAATTTTAAAAACTCTAAATTTCAAGAGAGAATTTTTAATTAAAAGGATTTTTTTTTTAATTCTGTGAAAAGTAAGAAATGAAAAAACAAATCAGAACTATGAGATTTCAGTCAGTTTTTTTTTTCTATTAATCTGAAAACAGATTTCTGTAACAAAAAAAGCATGTTTGTCAGAATTTAAAAAGTTAGAGTTAGTTTTTTGTTTTTTTTCAAAAGTTATAATTCTAAGTCTAGTGTCATTTATGTAAAAAGGGAATTCTGAGTATAAATACTAAATTCTGAAATAAATAAATAAAATAATTCAACATTCTAGAAAAAAAGTCAGAATTTTACAAAAGTCAGTATTTTTAATTCAGTGTCAGAATTTTAATCATTTCAGATTCTAAATTTCACGTCAGAATTGACAATTTGAATAAAATCTTTCTTCGGAGACAGAATTTTGTTTTATTTTAATTTTTGCATTTTTAAAAAAAAAATTAGTGTTAAAAAAAAAAGTCACAATTTTGGGGAAAACAACAGATTAAAAAAAACAACAAAACTTTAGAATTTTTGAATCAAAGTCAGATTTCTGATTTTTATCCTTTTTTTCCTGAGAAAACAGAATTTAAAAAAAAAAAAGTAAACTCAGAACAATGTCTGATTCTGAGTTTAAAGTGAGAATTCTGGGAAAAAAAGGTCGACCATGTTTTTTCCAGCGGCCCTCGTCGTCCTCCGGCTGTTCTGACCACGTCAGCGTCGCAGCTCTCAGGTGAAACAACGGCTGATTTTAAAGCGCTCACCTGTTTGCTCTGCTCGCTGCTCAGATAAGGACAAAGAAAGGAGGCTGAGGCAGAGATTCTGAGCTGTATTTAGCACGGCGAGACGCCGGTTCCTATGGTAATAGTCATTAAATAGGCAGCGTCGCCCCCACAGTCCTGTCAACCAGTCAGCTCGTCTCCAAAGACGCTTTCATCCCGACCAGAGTGATATTCATAGATTCCTCTGTCTGGCCTGAGAGCAGTAAAAGCATCGGGGTTTGAGGGGGAAAAACAACATTTCGTCACTGCGCCCCATCTGTCGGCCAAATGTTTTTCTGGTCCGGAAATAGACGAGATAAGTTTCCCCGACTCTCCTCTCAGCACAGCTCCATCCACAGCTCATGTTCTTCATCCGTCAGCCTCTCTGCTGCAGCAGACTGTCTGCCTCATGTGTCTGACGCTTCCTGCTTCTCCGGCGTCTCATATCTTTGTCTTTGTCTCCTGCGTCACCTGTGTCGTGTGTCCCTGTCGAGGCTTCCAGCTGCTTCCTTTCTTTCCTTTTTTTTTGTTTTTGTTTTTTTTTTTTATCACTGTGACATAGTCATTTCAAAGGCATAACAGCTCACGCTAACACATCAATGCTCTTGAGGGTGATACGTGAACAAACTGAGTTACTGAGGAGCCCGAACACGACTGGCTGGAAGCAGCTTGTTGTTCGAGGCCGGTGGTGCATCTGTCGTCGTGCTGCACCTGGAGCACCAGACAGAAATACAGGCGGTTTAATATTTCATTTAGCTGCATTTAAAGTAGATTATCAGTTATTTTTAAGGAGCGCAGGAGCTATTCCAGGAACTTTATCTGTGTTTTCACCAAAGAAAGACTCTTTAATGCTGGAATGTGGGCAGCTGTGTCCGACAGTTTGCTCAACTTTCTAAAATCGTCAAATAAAAAATGCTAAAAACACACGCCTAAACACTGCCTGCAGCTCAGTCGGACACTCTGAATTTTAGTCCCGCGACTGTTGATGACAGTGGCGTCACTGAAGGCATCACGGTTGCAATGAGGAGCGCAGAATTTTTTTGTTTTTTACAGAATCTACTTCGTGTAAACGGTTTATTTCTGGCAATTTCTATTTGACATATAATGAAGTGATTTTTGAAGAATTTTAAAGTCATGTTTGGGTGTTTTTCCTGACAGGACTGTGTGTCATAAATGAGCATTTCAAGGTCTGTAGGAAGGTGGAATATTCAACATTTTTTCTGTTTTTACAGTTTCTTGCTCTGATACATGAGGACATTTTGGTGATTTTATTTCCTTTAAAGATTAAACATGCTGGCGTGTTTGTGCATCCACTTCTACAGCAGCACCCCGACTCTGCTGCTCTTTCCTTGAACAACAATTTGATTTACTAAAACTCGTCTTTCTTCACGGTTTCTCCGCTTGAGGTGGAAAACACAAGTTCCTGCGTTTAGCTCCTGTGGCTCCACGTTGAGTTTATTTAGAACCAGATAAAACCAGACGTCTGGGTGTGTTTGAGTGCTCGTGGCCTGACGTGTTTTGCCGCCCTGCCGACAGCAGTGGGAGCAGCGGAGGAAGCCACCCCAGCAGCAGTCGCAGCAGCAGCCGAGAGAACAGCGGCAGCGGCAGCGTGGGCGTGCCCATCGCCGTGCCGACCCCGGCCCCGCCCACCGCCTTCCCAGGTAACGCCCACCTTCTTGTTTTTCTTCTCCCCGCAGGGCAGCAGAGTGAATGGCACTAACATGACTAATCTTTGTTGAGCGTCCAGGATGACGTCGCACTCTGGAGGTGGTTAGTTCAGCCGGACTGCAGGAGTTTGAGGGCGCGTCAGGAGAAACTTTACACAGATAGAAAAATAAATCAATCACTACTTATTAATATTATGGTGCCAGAGAGAGTCGGCAGGGAATCAAAATGGAGTCTGTGGTGCAACAACTTCCCAAACAATTCTGGATGAGAAAATGTTTGTTTGTTCTTCAGAAGTGAGATTTTAACTTTCACTTTTAAATTTTAGCTCAAGTTTCATTGACGTAAATTGTTTAGCTGTGTTTCAAGTAATTTTAATTTTAAAAAAATACAAAATTTCACTCCTGAAGCTGATTATTAGTAATCAAGATGCCCAATAACTGATATTTGAAACAGTTATTATTAGGTTGTCACGAGCACATTAACTGATTAAAAGTTTATTAACCGAAAATGCACGTTACGTTGGCACTTTTAACGTGATAGACAATTATTATTATGACATGCTCGTCTTCTTTTCACTTCAGTCTTTAGCAGGGTCATATTCGAAGAAAAAGACGCAATAACTTTCATTATCATTTAGATGATAGATCAATAGATAAATCGATAGATACTTTATTAGTCCCGAGGGAAATACAAGCAACCAGCAGCATATAAACACAGACTATACACACAGAATACACAGAAACAAGTAGGTAGAAATATGAATAACTGCAGAAGTCGGGCACAAATTAGTACGACTGGTAATGTGCAAATAACCAAAGACGTCTGTTTAAATAAGTTTGTCTCTGTGAGGTGTTAAGGAGCAATGTGGCCTGTGGGACAAACGTGTGTGATGGTGCAAGAAATGCCTTATTATTTACACAACTACTACACCGTACTTGTCCTTCTTTCACCCCAATCTTCAGCAAAGTCATAATCGAAGAAAAAGACAGATTAGCTTTCATTATCAATTGAATCTGCAAAAGCGTTCTGTCAATTCCACAAATATACCAATTATTAGTACTCAAGGTGCCCGATAACTGATGTTTGAAACCGATATTAGGTGCCACTAATACTCGTTAAGTATAAAAACATGCACGTCAGAACATGTGTTGTCGATCAGCTGTAGTACCTGATTGATCCACCAGGTGGAGCCTTAGCATCAGTTCAAGCATTGTTTGGGTTTAGCTAGCAGGTTAATGACGTGTTAAAGACAAACTACAGATGACTAGAACGGCGGATGGTTTAGATACAACCTGAGCTGAATCGACCTGAAACTCCTGCAGTCTGACTGGACACCAGAGTGGAGGACCTCTGGACCTGCTGGGTCCTTTCTCCCACCTTCTCACTCTTCTCTTGTCTTGACCTTCCTCACCCGTCCTTCTCTTTTCACTCGACCTCCTCCCCCTCCCCTCAGGTTCAGTCCCCGCCCCGTCCAACCCGGCTAAACCTCCCCCAAACACTGCCACAACCCCCGGGCCCCCTTCCTCGGCCCTCGACGGCCCCCCACAGGCCCCTAATCCCCCCGTAGAGATCCCGCCTGTCCCCCCACCTCCTCCCCAGCTCCCCACCTCCGCGGCCCCCACAGGCCCCGCTGCTTATGGCAACCCTGCACAAGGTGAGTCCGACCCGGTGGGAGAAGCTCGCCTCTGCACCCCCCTCATCCATCATCCATCATCCATCCATGCTGCCTCCCCTGAATCCGCCTCCCTGCTTGTGAAACGTCGTCACGCTGCATTTTGTCTCCTGGAATGATTTTTTTGCTCCACACATGGAAGTCAGGGGGCAAAACTGAATCAAAACAAACATAAAATTGCTGTAGAGCTTCATTATTTACACTCTAAATTAACAAGAATATTATTTTCCCAATTAATTAATCTATATAATGTTGAAAAAAAAACAAAATTGAAGCTATAATGATGCAGAAAACCATAAAAAGCAGAAAATAACTGCTGAATAATTTCAGTCATGATTGAAAAATGTCCAAAAAAAGTTTGAATCATTAAAGCTCTAAATTCCTTCCAGGTTTCTATTTTAACCGTTGAGCAACACGCTTTTCTACAGATTTGCTGATAGCAGCAACACAGCCGTCAACGGTAAGGTTAATCAATAAGTCTACACTTAAAATATTTGGATTTAAATCAACTTTTCATGTGTTCTATGAGGAGGAGAACGCCTTTATGTTGCGTTTTGTTGGCTAAATTAATTATATATACACATAATAATAATAAATGTTGGCAAAGAAATCTCCACAGTGCAGCTTTTTAATCATCGTTTTACGTGTAAAGCAATTACTTTTAAACGCCTCCGACTCTTAACCCTCTGAACCTTGAGCAGAATTTATTTGCAAATGGTGCGTTTTTTTCCCGTCACCGTGGACTCGTTTGTCGCTGCCACAGACACAGTTAGAATGACACAAATCACAAAATAGAACATTTAATTAAATCAGTGTTTTTCCGAGGTGGCTCTGCATACTATAGATGCTTTACAACTTACATTTTTAATTAGTTCCTCTACTTGTCTCCCTTCTGCTCTGTGCAGTTCAGCCAAACACTGACGGCTTTTCAGTTTCACCAAAGAGCACAGAATTGTTTTATAGCTTTTAATAGAAACTGCCAAGTTTAAAATATCACACGAGATGCAGATTAAAGCGATTTTGATGCCATTTGTTTACGTCACTCTGCATGTTTCACCGTGCTGAATGTGTCCTCCAACAACTAGCTGCTCTGTTTACTGTTTCAGAGCCACGCTGCATTTATTTAATCGATCCAACAGGTTTTTATTTATTTGGTTGCCTCCTCGCCTGCAGTTCAATTGAAAACTCTGTGCCGATTCTTTTGCTTTGTACAGAATCTAATTCGTGCAAATTGTTTATTTTTTTTAAAAGGGGGACCAAAAAAATGAGTGATTTTGATGAAATATCACAATTTTAAGTTAATTTTCCTTGAAGGTTTTTCTGTTTTTACAGTTTCTGACTCTGATACATGTTTTTTTTTTCTTGCATTTCCAACCCACTGGTGTTTGTTTTAGGGTTCAGAGGGTTAAAATGCACTTTAACTCTAAATCAAAGGCAGCTCTCATCATATATCTACACTGAATGGTTTTAGGATTTATCTTCAGACGTCTTTGAGAACATTTGTCAACAAACTCTGCTGCTGGATCCTCCACCTGCATCCCTCTCAGCATCTCATCAGCCCCGCCGACGAGGCTGCTTTCTGGTGTTTAATGCATGAGCTGTGTGGTGAAACGCTTCCTCCGTGTCCTGTGTTGATTTGTCCTCGGCTTTATGGCGTGCAGGTGATTTTTCCGTGGCTCCGTGTTGTCATGATCGGTGGATGTGCTGCTGTTCAGGGTAGAAACGGTCATTCAGATGTTGATATTGGATCACAGTCAGATTTGATGTGAATTTATGGATCTGACAGTCAGTAAAAAGTTGTTTTTAAAGCTTATTTAAGCTTTGCAGGTGTTGAATTGTGCAAAAAATCCTACATGAACGAATCTTTTCAAACTTCTAGCTGCTGGTTTTGACAGTTTGTGCAAGAAATGATCAGTTCGAGACTTCTTGAATTAATATATTTGGCTAAAAAAATAGTCAAGTTACTGTTAATTATACAGAATATTTAAAACAACAGACAATATTTACCTGAATAACCTAAATGTGTACGATTAAGAGCCTGCAGTTTGACCACAAATGAAGGTTATAGTATTATAAAACATATTTAATATTTACTAAATAGGAAACGGTGACAGAAATTACAAATATTCACAATATTTAGGCAAAATTTAAAAATGGATAAATGCGACTATATCAGGTGTTGTGAGGCTTGTTCTGTTTCATTTATGGCCAGAAAACAAGATGAAATCATCTTATTTAATTAGCAGAGTTCACTTATTAAGTTGTGAAGCATGTAGTAGTTGTTCCACGTAGTAAATATGAATAAATTCTATGTCACAGAAATAAAAAAATATAGTAAATATAGCAAAAAAATATACAATAACAAAAAATAATAATACAAAAATAGTAAAAGGGTAAACTGTCAATAAAACAGGGTAATTAGTACAAAACATACATATTAATGCCATTAAGTTTTTTTAACTATAAAATTAAAAGTGGTTGCATGTAGTTTAGACTTCTGAGTTCAAACTTGTTGATCACAGAACGTACGTGGTGTTAATTAAGCTAATAATAATTCAAACTAATACAAACCATAAAGAAAAAGAAAAATATAAATGAAATAATTAAATATATCTCAAAATGAACTTTTTATTTTAAAAAAGAATTGCGTTTAAACTACATTTAAAGATACAAAAGCTTCCCTGCATTTATAATATAGTAAATAAAACTACAATAAGCAAAACAAAATAATACTAAAAGACAGAATTAATAAGCTGGATATATCATGGAAGTGAGTCGTACTTATGTCACACTTGTGATAAATTAAGCTCATAAAATTATACAAATGAGGCAAGTAAAATAAATTCAAAAAGAACATTTTATTCTGAAACATTTGCATTTTAATCACATTTAAAGTGTCACGAATATTTCTTAAGATTAATAGATGACAGTTAAAGTCGTTCCTTTCGTGACTTTTTCTGCTATAACCTGAACATTTCCCGTCACAGATAAATATGTCTGCAGATGACAGACTGCAGGATTGTGTTTGTCAGAGAGCTTTTCAAACTAAACTAAGACGTGAGTAAAGCCAGAACCAGCTGCCTGTTCTAACCGGCTCTCTGCTGCCTCCTGCTGCCTCCTCCCTGCAGGTGCTCCTCAGTTCTACAGCATGAACCGCCCGGTGCAGCCGCCCCAGAACGCTCCGGTGGGCGGCTCCCTGCCGTACCGCCGGCCCTCGTCCGTCACCGGTCAGCCCAACGTGGCCCACAACCAGAGCCAGCTCAACGGAGGGCCGCACTTCGCCCAGAACCAAGGTAGGCCGGTCCGGAACCGCCACAGACAGAACTTCATTTGAGTATTGATTTGGTTCCCGACTATTTGTACGTTATTTTACTCTTAATCCATTAATATTTAATGTTTTTTTTAATTTTATTCTTTTGATGATCACAGTCTGGAATAAGTTAAAGCAACCAGTCTGATTTATTATCTTTTTTTTTTTTTCTTTTTTTTTTTGTACATTGTCAGATTTAAACCAAACATTCACACAGTTTAGGACAAAAAATAATAATAAAAAACAAAAAAAATGCCATAAAAATACATAATTAATATGCTCATGTTTCCTCCAGTTTAATTTTAAAAAATAATTAATATTATAATTATAGAATATTTATTAAGCTTCAGGATTTTAGCCCTTTTTTTTGTGTTTGTTTTTTTTGTTTTTTAATGAGGTTTAATGATTTCTGTTGGAACCTTTTTCTAACCAAGAATCCCCAATAAATGCAATAAATCCTGTTTTTTTCTTTAACATGATCTCCACAGCCACTGATTACGGAGGTTCGTTTCAATAATTTATCAGGAAGTCAAACTGCTGTTATTCACTGAAGTGAATCGAAACCTGAAGAATCTTTTCACATAAACTCACTGAAGCTTCTTTCCTCAGTGTCATCTCGTCCTCTTTAGTTGTTTTCAGTCTGATCTGCTGAATTAATGCCGTTTTGTTTTTTAAGTTTCTGATTCAGGAGTCCAGCTTCTCTTCGCTCCTTTTAGGTTTCATCAGGTGTCTTTTGTCAAAGCGCCTCCTGTCTGGTTGGATTTTGTCGGTTCGCTGCCGCTCTGTCTTCTGTCCTCCGTTTGTCGATCCTCCTTCATGAGTTCATTCCTGCGATTAAACTCAAACTCTAGTGTTCCAGTGATGGACTAACAGCTTTTTGTATCATCAGTCAATCTGCTGATTGGTTAGAAAATGTCTGAAAATTGTCAGATTATTCAGTTTACTCTCATAAAAGTTGTAGAAAACTGACATCTTTACATATTTTAGATGCTAGAATTAGTTAGAGACGCGTTTTCTGTCCATCAGTTTTAATGTTAAGCTCCAAACACAACCTGCAGTTCAACTGAATCGTCCCTGAATTTTTTACCAACTAACTGTTCTTCTGTTTGTAGTTTTTTACAGAATCTGATTAAAGCGAACCTTTTTATTTTTGACCATTTAAAAAAAAAAAAGAAGAAGAAGACTTGTAGAATTTATCGATTTTGATGAACTATCACAATTTTGAGCTTCCATTTGGTTAATTATCCTGACAGATCATCACGTCACACACGAGCAGTTCAACGACCGTCAGAAAGTTAGAAATCAGAGGATTTTTTCTGTTTTTACACTTTGTGGCTCAGACAGATGCTGTCATTTTAATGATTTGTTAAAAAAAGATCGCAAGTTTTTCAAGCTAACCTGCTAAATTTGAAATCATAGAAACTTTATTTAAAAAAAAAAAAAAAGGAAAAAGAAATACTATCAGGCTGGTGAAATAACCTGCTTTCTTGTGTTTTCCTGTATTTTTCAAATTCTTAAATTCATATTTTATCTTCTCTGCTTTGGTTTTTGAATCAAGCTTTAATTATAACTCTATGATCCCCATTTAAAGCACTTTTTTTAAAACTTCATATCCAAGTTTAAATCAGTTTTTTTAATCAATACCTGCATTCAACAGGGATTCAGTGAATCTAGGATTAAAGTAATCTGATTATATTAAATTAACAGGCAAAATTCTGCAGATATGTGAAGATTTGCTGCGTTTTTTGTGGTTTTACATGAAATATTAGACCAATCTGTCTTAATATCCAACTTTTTCAGATCCTTCCTCAACTAAACAATTCATAATTAATATTTATGGCTTTTTTTATTATTAATAATGTTAAAACCTGTTTCCGGACCATCCCTCCTTCATGTATGAACACTGCTTTGCTAAAGTCACGTGTCCTCTGCTGTTGTTCTTGTCCGCTGACTCTCTGCTGTGCTCTTCTTCTGTGTTCTGACGTCGTGTCCGTCCTCCGTGTTTGTCGGTTCTGTTCGGTGGTAGCCGGCCCGCTCGCGCCCCCTCCCCCCTCCATGCAGATCACCCCTCAGCTGCCTCTGATGGGCTTTGTGGCCCGAGTTCAGGAGACCAGTAAGTGGCTTTTAGCTCCTCATCGCTGCCTCTGCATGACCTCCAGCCGCCAGTAAGACATCAGCCGCCAGCGGACGCTCGCTCAGGGATCTGCCGCCGCCACGTTTCTAAACTTTAACCACCTGGAAAGGTGTTTTTAGATGAGTGAGAGCTCATTTAATGGATCTTTACGGCTCCCAGATCCGCTGCTAGATGGATGATGTGGATAGAAATCATCCGACATTAATCCTCTGAAGCTCCTTTTTACTCATGTTTCACTGCAGGTTAAAGTCCTGCACCTCCATGGAAACAACACAGTCGTAGCGAGAAGAAAACAGAACTTAAATGTGGAGCTTTTATGCAGTTTAGCAAAGTTATAATGTGATTAATCATAAAAAAACAAACAGAAGTACGACATTAAGTCTCCACAGATGTCACCAATACTGCAAAGAATTGAGATATCTGACTATTTATATTTATAACTTCCTGAATATTTACAGAATTTCTGTCACCTCACTGTTGATCACAGCTGAATCCGTCGTGGCTCCACGATTGCGCCGAAAAACTCAGAATTTTTCAGTTTTTACAGAATCTGGTTCGAACAAACGGTTTTATTTTTAACCGTGAAAACGACACCAGAAGTAGAGAGAAGTTAAAGGTCTTTTGTGCAGCATGAAAACAAAGCTTTAAATGTCCCAGAAGTTTTTTTTAGTTGTGCCAGATTGTAGAAGTTTTTGTGCAAAGGTTTTGTTTTTGCATAATTTCTAAATATGGTGAATAGAATAAAGGGATTTTAATGAATTATCACAATTTTAAGCTTAGATTTTTCTGATGTTTAAAGACAATTGACAAGTTGAAACTCCAGTTTTTTAGGAAAACATGTCTGTCATACCAGCTGGATTATTATATTTATCTATAATATTTTGTGTGTTCCAAAACTTGTCATATTCTATATTTTCATTACAGTCAGTAAATTTCACTTGCGAGTGCAATTGGAGCTACAAATTCAGTTTCTCCTGATGACAAATGGAGAAAAAAGCAGAACAGAAAGTGTATTTTTAGTTTTGTTCAACATTAGTCTTGTGAATAAAACCGTCCACACTGCACCTCTTTACTGCATTACATGTCAGAGGCTGCATCTTTAAATAGGATTTTAAACACTGAGCGGCGGCTAAACGAGCTCCTCTGGGCAGCAGACGTTGGTGGCTGGTTGCTCGATTCGTTAGTCCATGATCGTTACTGTGGATGTTGTTTCTTTCCTTCACTCTGGTTTCTCTTGTGAACGTGTTCCTGCTGTTTTTAAACGCATGTTGAGTTGACGTCTTTTCACTCCTGTCATCTGTGGTTTAAATCCGTCCAGCATGAACTCTTTCCCTCCTTTTCCAAACGCGTCCGTCGTGTTTGTACATCTAACTGGTCGTCTTTTGTTTCCTCCTTCAAGTCTCAGACGTGCCGCCGCCGCCTCCGCCCGCCGACGAGCCGGTGTTTGAGGAGCCGACACCTCCGCCGCCGCCGCCCGAAGACTACGAGGACGACGAGGACGAAGAGGAGTCGGCGGTGGTGGAGTACAGCGACCCGTACGCCGAGGAGGACCCGCCCTGGGCGCCACGCAGCTACCTGGAGAAAGGTCACCCTCCAATATCTACCTTAGAATCCTGGAAAATCTTTTCATTTATCTCTACTAACACTTTCCCTGTTTGGAAACTTGTGCAAATTCTGAAACAGCAAACCTTCTTCTGCATCAATATGTTTGCTCTGTGTGGCTGGTTGCTCGATCACATCTTTGTGCTAATGATCTGCACGTTTGTCCCCTTCAGTGGTGGCCATCTACGACTACACCCGCGACAAAGAAGACGAGCTCTCGTTCCAGGAGGGCGCCATCATCTACGTGATCAAGAAGAACGACGACGGCTGGTTCGAGGGCGTGATGAACGGGACCACGGGCCTCTTCCCCGGCAACTACGTCGAGTCCATCATGCACTACGCCGACTGAACAAACCCTCCTGCCGCCGCCGCCGCCACAGGGGGGAGGCGGTGGAGAGGGATGGAGGGAGGGGAGCCAAGGGTCAAAGACTTTGATCAGACAGAGCATGATCACCTCCGGGCGAGGAGAGAGGAGGCAGCAGCGCGACGAACTCACCCTCTCGACATCGCCGCCATTGTAAAACAACCACTACTCTAGATATCCCTGTAATCCTTCTTTCTTTACTCCTTCATTCGACCGACTGGACGGATCGAGGCCACTACGTTTATTTTTGCTTCTTCTTTTTGTTTTGTTTTTATTTTTGGTTGCCAGTTTGCCCTTATTCGCAACAATATTTATTAGTAGTGGGATAAACGGTGAGCAGGCAGACTTTAAAGGGCTGGAGGAAAATGCCTTCATGTGATTTTCTCCTCGACACTCCAGAGAAAAAGTCCTCGGCGGGGATTTATTTTATGTTTTTTTATTTTGTTTAAACGGTTGGGTTGGTACCTCACGGTTGCCAAAAAAAAAAAGAAAAGAAAAGCACATCAGACGTCTTAAGGATCCCCCCTCAGAGTGCTTTAAATTTATCGTTCGATTAAACCGGGTGTTTAGTCGCTTCACTTTTCCGGCGAAGGAATCGTCATCCAGCCCGTCACGCGAGAGAGGAAAGACCCTCGACTGCACAATAGTTCTTTATTCTTTACCAAGAGGTCCAGAGTTTTGCTTGCGGAGCGGCATGTTACGACGAGGATTTTAAAAAATGAAAAAAGGCGTCTTTTCTGCTCTACTGATGATTAATGTCTTAATATTTTTAGATATGGTGTGGTTTGGTTTTTGATATTCACCCACGACGACGACGACGATGCATTTAGGTCATTTCTAAGATGCTTGTGCCATATTGAAGTGTGTGTTGCTGTTCAGAGGTTATCACTTCATTTGCAATAAAATTGGCCAGAGTGGGTTCGTTGAGCTACGGTTTTATTTTTCTTCTTCTTCCGGTTTTTGTTTTGAATCGAAAGCACATACATTTGTAGTTTTCAAAAAAGGAAAAAAATTAAAAAAAAACAAAAGGTGTAGAAGAGAAGAAATAATATAAATGTGAGATGTATTATCAAAAACGGGACTTTATTGAATATGAAAAGAAGCCAGCTGTCGTGTTGAAAATGGTTTTAACCATCGCGAGCCCCCCCCCTCCTCCTGCCCCCCCCGATATGAAAAAATATGACGCCGTTTGTCCTCCGTACGGTTTATTAAAACGCTTTGGTGTTCGCGAGGGCTCAGTGCTTATGTCAGAATCTTTATTTTCTATTTAAAAACAGAAAAAAAAGTACTAAAAAGTGGGTCTGTTTGTGAGTCTTGCATGCCATTGTTCTTATCTGTACTGGTGTCCCAAAAAACCTACGTGGCAAGATCACCCATTCAAAAGACAAGCAGCCCTGCAGCTCCGACCGGGAACCACCAGCCTCATCCAAAGAGACTGTTTCAGTCCAGGAGTCGCCCTCTGACCTGCTGGGGGAGGACGGAGGGAGACGCCTCCTCACCCCCCTCCCCCCCCGACAGTAGCCGTCATTACAACAGTGGTGAATTTAAAAAAAATACAAATAAAAAATCGTGTGTGTTTTTAAAAAAAAGCTGCTAGTGAATCCTGCGGCAGAGCTGAGAAGCTGACACTAAAAAAAATAAAGGCTTCTGCGAGGTCTGCAGGATTCACAGCTCCCTGGAGTCACAGGCGTCCCCCCTCCCCCCCGGGACGTCCAGTTTAACAGTCCATAATGCCATTGTGTTGCACAGTTAAAGTTGAATTGCAGAAGTATCATATTTGTAAAATCATGAGAACAAAGACAATAAAGTTATTAAGATTTATCGGCGTCTTGTTTTTATGTCTGCTGTGAATGCAAGAGGAGAGAAGTGCAGCTAGATGTCGTTTTATGCAAATCAAGACACATTATTAAAAACATAATTTAAAGTCATTGTCAGTTAATCTGTTTTAAGTTTTGTCTGTAAAATGTCCAGAATGTTCAGTTTATTTACTGTAGAGTCTAAACAATTTAAAAAAGCTGCGTAAATAAGAATTTTGTATTATATTTTTGTATAATTGTTATTGTAGGTTTTAAGTCTAAATATTTGAATTTGTCAGATATTTTTAATAAGTACTGTTTGGATATTTAATTTGTATTATACACTGTTGTAGGTTTTGTAATATTTTTATTTATATCGCGTTGACTTGTAGAAAATTTATTACCTTATAATAACTATACATCTTATAATTACAGGTGCATTTGAATTTTTAAATATATTGTATTCGTGTAGATTTGTACTATATATAACATTGTAGGGTTTAACCTTCACATTTCAATTATTCAGGTAGATTTGTATCAAAAATATGACTTTTGGGTCTTGACTTTATTATTTTTCAGTTAGATTAGTAAATTATTTTATACCATACCCTAAATATTATAGAGTCTAAACCTTCACATTTAACTAAGGTACATTTATATATTAAACAAAATCTAATTTAATCAGGTAAATTAGTATTTTATTCATTGTTGACCCTAATAGTTAAATTAGTGAAGTTATATATACATATTGCAATTTATGTACATATATTGTTTTAATATAAAAACAATTAAGTTCATTTTTATTTTACATATAATATTCTAGGTGCATTTCTGAATATTTAAATAAATCTGGTAAATCTGTATTATATGTAATATTGTGCTGTTTGAACGTGAATATTTAGATTAGTTAAATAAATGTTTATAATATGTCATATTTTAGGTTTATCTTAGGGTTCTTTTAAAAACTAATTATATCTTGGATGAACAAGCTGCCATATACAAGCTACTTTTTTTTTATTTTTCCTTTTTTTTTTTTAAAGCAATAAACAACCAAGAAATAAATGCAGATAGTTAAATATTACACCATTAATCCATATTATTCTTTAACCCCAATTCATACAATGCCGGCTGAGTTCGGAGCTTTTCTCCTCAAACTAACCGGCTAACTGATTAGCTTAGCAGGCTAACAAACTGCTAGCTGGCCCTTGCTCGGGGGGGCCACGTTGCTAGGCAACCAGGTAAACAAGCAACCGTGTGTGTGTGTGTGTGCGCGCGCGGGGGGCTTCCTTACGCGGTCTATGGCGGTCTCTTTTTTTAAATTAATATTTATCGTTTTTACTTCATACCACTTTTGACTGTGAGCGTCGCCTTTTAGCAGCTTTGTGAGTCAATCCAAAAAAATAAAAAAATAAAAAAATCTACTTCCTGAGCCGACGCCCTCCTCTATGAGTATGAATGAACTTAATCGAACTGCGTCACGTCTTTTATAGTTTCGTTTTCACGGTCGACGGTTTCTCTCCTTTCGTAGGTCAAATACGACCTCCTTTTGGGACTTTTCCACAGCCTACGGACGGTGGAGTCGTTTCTGTCGAGTCATTTTTCTCCACACTTTCCTTTTTATGAAGTTTTATCAGGAAATATGTCGCCGTCGTCGTTCACCGTTTTGATTTGCTTTTTGTCTCTGAGCAAAGCGAGCTCAGGTGAGTTCTGGTCTCCTTTTACTTCACCGTGTTTTAAGCTTAGTGCGCAGGTATTCAGTACAGCTTCGTGAAAGTGTTCAAACTATTTTCAGTGGGGTTTTTTTAAGTTTCCAGCGCATGCGTACTGACGTCCGCGTTTGAAAAAAAAAGGGCCTATAAAAAAGATTAAAAAGTGGATTAAAGCAGCATTAACTAATTAATCATTTACGTGGTTTTCAAAAAAATACTGTAAATTGTCTACTACAAGTTTACCTGAAGTGAATATTTTCTTGTTTTCTAATTTAGATTTTTCTTAAAGCATGTAGATTAAAAATAAAAATAATAATAATAATACACATTTTTCAGTATTTTCTGACTTTTTATACACCAAAAAAATAGCTAAAATAATTTAAAGAAAATACTTTTTAGCAGTATTGACAATGAGAACAATGTGATTAAACAAGCTTTATGTAAAATTAGCTTAATAAAATGCCAAATAAATGTTCTATAACTACGGCTGTAAGGCCACAAAGGCCCTAAAGTGAAGCATGGAGGGCCGTGTGAATATTCTACTTACCTGGTGCAAATTTAATTGTGTATATTATTAAAATGATTTAAACCCAAATGATATTGTGGGTATTTGCATTTAAAGTGGATAGAAGTGTGAACTACACAAGAAGCTGAACTGATTGTAGTTTTCTGAGCTTATTAATCATTTAAGTCACATTTTTTATACCTTCAATACCTTAAATTCTTGTCAAAGTATTTTTTAATTTTAATTTTAATTTTTAATTTTTAATTTTTATTTTTTAGATTAGATTCGGGGGGGAAAAGACATTTACATATGTTTATTTGGGTTCCAGTAAATAATAATAACACCCCTTTTCAATATTTTCTGACTTTTTATATACTAAAAACTAAAATAATTGAAAGAAAATAAATGTTAGGTGTACTGATAATAATTCCAACAAATCTGTGATGAATAAAATGAAAAAAAAAAAAATCCTGATGAAGGGAACAGTGATGTGAATTAGAGGGTGGATTAACTTGTGTTTGTGATTTCTGCTGTTCTGCCTGCTTAAGGGATATAACTGCAGATATAAGGCAGTTAAATTAAATGATGAATGATAAAAACACAGAACAGACTCTACGATGTTCATTCAGAATCCAAGAAACAGAGAATTTAAAGAATTAAATATGTTTTCTTGTTTTTATTTCACAGTCATCTACGGCAAAGTTGGAGGAAAAGTCGTCCTCGACCCCGGCCCTTCGGCTAAACTTATCGAAACCATAACGTGGAAACATGGCGAAGACATCGCCGTGGAGTCGTACGGGGGAAAAGTTTTTGCCTACCGACATTTTAACGGTAAAAATACTGAAGATTTAACAGAAAATGGACTTTTTACACTCATTTTAAAATCTTTACACTAAACTTATGTCCTTAATTCTTCTGCAACATCCTGAAATAAACCCACAAAAACACCAAACACTATAAAAATATCCGGTTTGTTTGGGAGCAGAGACTAAAGACACATTCTGAAAATCCCTTAAATAACAAATTAAGTAGATTTGAAGGGGTTGAATGATCAGTGTGATGTTATTTTGCATTTTTTAAATTCAATTATACCATGAATAGATTTTAGAATTTAACAAGTTCACCCCAGATGTGGCCGAAGTCAATGCATAAATGATCACTTTGTGCATGTTATTAAGGAGTTTATTGACATTTCCGCACAACTGAAAGAGTTAAAACCCAAATACATTAAATTCATCTCCTGAATTTTCACCTGAACTTACAGTTTACTGTAAAAGTGGGTTCATTTAAATGTGTTTTTGTCGACTTTACGTCCTTTAAAAGCCTTTAAATCGTGCAGTTAATCTCTTGAAAATAGTAAAAGCCCAGTTAAAAATAGATTCTCTGGGTTTTCCATGTCGTTTAAAGGCAAGAATTTTACCTAATGCAATAAATATATTTCCAAAATGTTTAATTTATTTGAAAAAAAATGGGTCAGGTTTATTGAAACTCTTCTTCTTAAAAAAACCTTCTTTAATGGGTCTACCACATTGGTTTCATTTTTTTAGGCATCAAAGTTCTTAAAATTGACTAAATGCATTTAATAAATCTCAGAATTTTCATCTTATTTGAAAAATTAAAGGTGTTTTGTGAATTAAGGGATGCCTATCGTGTTCTTTCTCAGTTTTAATGGATTTCTGCATTTTTTAAAAAACCCCTTAAACTGAGCGTGTCATCCCAGAGTACGTCGATTCGTCCAGTTTACTCACCGATTGTCTCATTAAAATGGAATGAATTCAGGGTCAACTTAAGGTTTTATTCATGAAGAATGTTGTTTTTGTTTGTTTGTTTGTTTTTTAAAGTAAAACCCAAATACCTTAAATGCATCCAATGAATTCCCACTTAAATTTAAGGCATATTTAAGGAACTAAAGATGAGGGTTTAAATTATACAAATAAATATATTAACTGGATTGTAGTAAATAATAATAATATAAGGGTTTTAATAGATTGTCCAGGTGGATTTGTTTTTTTCTCATAAACAAACACAATAAATTTATTCCATCTTGATTGAAAGTCGAGTCAGTTTTAATGGATTTCTTCATCTAGAACTGAACAGACAGTCCCTGAATGCAACAGTCCGTCCCGTTATCTCATTAAATCGTCATTGACCGTCTCTTCCAGGCTGCACCGCTCTGAACATGTCCACCGGAGTTCTGACCATCTCGGCTTTGAATCGGAACCACAGCGGCAGCTACACGGCGGAAATCAACAACGTAGTCGCCAAGTCGATGGAAGTCCGGGTGTTGTGTGAGTGGATGAACTTTGGCTTAACTTTGAGTCTTTAAGCTGAATTCTAATCATTTTTTGTTGCCTTTTTCCCGTCAGTGCCCGTCCCCAAACCCGTTGTCTCCATGCGATGCGACGCCGAGCACGTTGTCTGCACTCTGACCTGCAAAGGCAACACCACCGGCGCCGAACCGGTCAGATACTCCTGGTCCATATTTGACGTCCTTTCCTATGAACGCGGTCCAGAGTTGAACATAACGAAGGTACGAGCAGAAAAGTCCCCTCTAGCGTCCAGACTTTGTATAAATCTCCACCAGATGCACTCATCAGCTGCTTTGTTTGGCAACTTTTTTTTTAGATTTTTGTGTGATAAACGTGCCTGTTGTTTTAAACATGTATGAATCCAAACCCACCTTCCAATAACCACGTAGCAGTAGAGGCTGGAACATTAACCCTTTGAACCCCACATTTTGACTCACTGCAAGGTAAAGTCCTGCACCTCTATGGAAACAGAACGGGATCCATCAGAGGCCTAATGTTTAATAATTACCTTTTGAAAGTGGAGAAAAGTGCACTGTTCACATTTTTTAATCATCCGGTGGAATCAAGTCACGTTCATTGTCTTTCTTTCTAAGAATTCTTTCAGATTTGAACCCAAATTGACTCTAGAGACAGTTTTATGAACCCTCAGAGCCCTGAGTGGCTTATTTACTCACTGTGTCCTCATTTTTCACTGCAAGGTAAAGTCCTGCACCTCTATGGAAACACAACAGCTATGACCAAGTAGAAAGAACTCAGAGCTGTTTGTCTGTGCAGGACGACAACGTTCCGAACTCTCAGAATTTTTTACTGAGTCACTCATAGCTTCGTGGTTGTCATGACAAATGCAGAATATTTAGTTTTTTACGGAATCAGTTTAGAGAAAAGGGCTTATTTTGATGCGAATGAGTGAAATAGGGCTGCAAGGTGGTGCAGTTGGTAGCACTGTTGCCTCGCAGCAAGAAGGTTGCCGGTTCGCGTCCCGGTGGGGGCACCGGAATCTTTCTGCGTGGAGTTTGCATGTTCTCTCCGGGTTCTCCAGCTTCCTCCCACACAGTCCAAAAACATGTTGAGGTTAATTGGTGATTCTAAATTGTCCGTAGGTGTGAATGTGAGTGTGCTTGGTTGTCTGTCTCTAAGTGTAGCCCTGTGATAGACGGGTGACCTGTCCAGGGTGTCCCCTGCCTTCACCCTAAGTCAGCTGGGATAGGCTCCAGCTCCCCCGCGACCCTGGTGAGGATTAAGCGGTCTATAGATAATGGATGGATGGATGAGTGAAATAACTTGAGTGTAGAACAACGTGGTTTTGGTGAAAAACGACAAAAAGAAAGCTGATTTTCTCTGATGATTTATTTTCTGAAAATTGAAGAAGGAAAAAAAAAACACTGGAAGAAATAGTGACTCTACATACAGTCGTCCTCAAATGTATTCATAACGTCCCATTAAAGGAAAACAACAGCAGTCACTGAAATAAGCTGAAATTGACAAAAGTAATGATAAATAAAAATGTAATGAAAATCATGACATTGCTTTTGAACTGTGGTGCAATAGAAATATAAAAAAAACAAACACGCATGATGGGACCCATAAACTAATATTTAATTGAACAACCCTTTGAGCCGATCACTGCTATCATCAGGTGTTTCCTGTAACTCTCAGTCAGACTTCTGCACCTGTTGACAGGTATTTTAATTTCACTGCTCATCAGCAAAGTGCGCTCATTTGTCTGGGACAGTTTTATTTTTTTATTTTTTTAAATTATTCTTTTCAACCACAATTCAAAAGCAATGACTTATTTCACTAAACTATAATTTAGCAAATTTTTATTTACTATTACTTTTTTCAGTTTGGGTGACTGTTGTGAATTTTGGATTTTCTTTTATGGAGGGGGACGAATACATTTGACTGCATGATAAATACTTTTCATTTTTAGTTTGTTTAAATGCTCTGTGTGAACCCTGTCTGCAGTTCAGTCGAGAAGTTCGTGAATTTTTGTCACGGGACTGTCGGTCGCAGCCGAGTCACTGACAGCTTTACAGTTGCGATAAAAAAACGCAGAATTTTTTGCTTTTTGTAGAATCTAGTGAGAACAAATGGTTTCTTTTTGGCAAATTTGTAAAGTGAGACATTTAGAGCATAATAACGCCCAGCACTTATCAGATCAACGATTCTGTCTGTTTTTGACGTGCTTTCCAAACCCAGAGGCAGGTTTTGGGCTTCAGGGGGTTAACAAACGAATCTCTTTGTGCTCCACTTGGCTGTTTAGACCCATCATTGTCTTTGGTGTTATTGTTGGTTATCTGTACAAAGTCAAAGGCGCCAAGTCAATCTGTTAAAACCATATTCCATTGACAAGCTTGAAGCTAACACTGGTGTTCCCGGATTCTAGGAGAACCCGGACCCCTGGTTCCGCTGTGACTTGGAAAATGATGTCAGCTCTGCAAGTAGTGAGAAAATTAACAACCCTTTCAAAGGAAGTAAGTCGTCAGATATCTTTACCAGCACGACCACTGCAGTCTGGAGCACAGCGTCTTTGCTGCAGTTTTATTCATTTATTCTTTCATTTCTTCGCAGGGAATCATTGGCTCATCATCGGCCTCTCGGTAGCCTGTGTGGTTCTGCTCATTGGTATCTTTTTAGTCTGGTTCATACGCAAACGCAGAAAAGGTAAAACTCCACTAAAGCTCGTAGTGTCGGTGCATCATCATTATGAATACATCTATTTACATTAAACACCCGACCGGCACTCGTTTGTGTCGATCACTCAAGTGAGTTCCGGCAGCTGAGATGCAAAACCGCAGCGAGCAGAGTTTGCTTCTTTATGCAAATATACCATGATGCAACCAATAGCTGCAGCCCCGAAGTGAAACACGAATACTCCTGCTGTTCAGCCAATACGTCAGAAAATGTCACGGAGGAGACACAAAACAACACAAACGAGACACAAAAACGGCACACAAGAGGACGAGAAGAGACAAAAAACACCAAAGAAGACACAGAAAAATAGCAGACGAGACACAGAGCAAGAAAACGTGGCGCAGGACGACATAAAACAAGACACAGAACAATAAAATTAGACACAAACGGCAGCCATGTTTTCTTGGGCACCAGGTGAACCCAGTTGCAGTTCTGTGTATTTGAATGGTTCCGTCTTAAACTGGACCTTCTAACCGATAATTCAGTGGATTTTATTGCTGCAAATTTACCCAAAACATCAACATAAGCTTTCATGAATTAAAATGAAACCATTCCTACACCAGGTTTGAGATCATGTGCAAAAAGATGTGAGTCCAGAAACCTTAAAAACAGCTTCTGGTTGTTGAAGCTGTAAATATCAAAACAGCGGCAGAATGTTTTTACTCACAACATGTTCACTGGAAAAGAAACCAGATGATTAACGACACGTTTCTTGATCTTTATTACAGAACAATACGACGTCGGGACAGTAGAAGGTAAGATGATTGATCTTCTTCAAACACTGCACCTTAAATAAAATGTGTACAT